CTGACACATTTCCCAATAGAATGCACTTGCTCCCTCTAGATTCATATTTGGATTTGACATGATGTACCTTAGCAGCATATGCCAAACACCCAAAAGGTCTCATTCTTTTATTATCAGGTACAATTCCATATATTTTATCAAAAGGGGTTTTCCATTCTAAGACTTGTGATGGCAGTCTATTAATAATGAAAGCAACTGTTAAAACTGAGTATGGCAAAAAACATATAGGCAGCTTAGCTTGAAACATCAAAGCTCTCTTTATCTCCAATAAATGTCTATGCTTCCTTTTCACAATGCCATTTTGCTGTGGTGTATATACACAACTTGTTTCATGAATAATTCCCTTCTGTTGAAAGAATTGTTGTGTTTCATTTCCCAAAACCAAAAGACCAATTATTTTAGGAATTTTCTTCTTAGCTCAAAGTTGTACATACACTCTGCTTTATATAGAGCAGCTCATTCATGCAACAGATAAAAGAAAAACGACGTCGTGTAAGTGACAGAGAACGACGTCGCATGAACTAACAAAGAAACAAAAGGAAGACAAACGAGACGATGTCATTTTAATAAGTAGAAATGGCGTCGTTCGAAGTGGAATTAAAACTAGAAAACAAAAAAGTAAAGTCGTGCATGCGACTTGTTCCCTAAGCTAGCACTCAATAGTTATAACTGCTCGAGCTGGTTCTTTACATATTCAACAAAGAAGTGATGGTTAGTTAAAATTATGTGAGTGGATGAATAGTGAGTTAACGTTGATATGATGTGCAAATATGATTGGTGGTAATTATTTAATGATTGGTTGTTATTATTTAATTATATTGATAATATTAAAGATAATGGGGTTGAGTTAAAGTTGAGTTAGTTTTTGAGTATGAATTAATTTGGATTGAGTAAATCCTTTTACAAACGTAGCCTAAAACCCAAGCCAATTACAAAAATATTAAGGCAGCTTAACCAACTGCAACCTTAACATCACAAAGACCACCAAGCACAACAAAATACATCACCTTCTAGCACAAACTCGGAAACAGTCACAATCAACAAGAACTAACACTGCCTACCATAAACCATTACACAGAAACTAAAACGAAAATATCAAGGTAAAAAACAGAATTCAAAACATCTACCAACTCAAGTATAGCACCTCTTGAAGCTAAAAGTGAGTGTCCACTGAAACCATAGCTGGACTTAGACCCCCTCACTATCAGTTCTCAAAGCCTCCTACTTGTCTGTGAACTAAACTCCTGCCAGTCATATGTAGCAACCTTCACAATTTGGAACTCTGGTAACCACTCTTCTTTAAAAATAAACAAGTTACGAGCCTTCCATAACCACCATAATATGTATGTTAGGTGGATTCGAGCCTCTGATATTTCATTATGGTCCACAGAGCACACATTCTGCCACCAAACCTTGAAACTGCTGGCATTCTCCTTGCTGAAATCCAATTGATTGGAGCCATTTTCCACACCTACAGAGCTGACGTACATCTAAAAAATAGATGTTCAGTGGATTCAATTTCTTCATCACACCTCTAACATATGTTGTCCACTTCCATACCTCTCTTTCTCAGATTGCTCTTGACAGGTAAGGTGTTAGTATAACTCCTCTAAATAAAGTGCTTCAGTTTGCCTTTGATGTGTAACTTTCAGCTTCTCAATCTAGTCTTTTTGCTAAGGAGTACTTGACCACTGCTTTCGGCAATATCCATGCTTCTTAACTTGTCTTCAACAAATTTGGAGTAGGCTTTAGAAACTATAAACTCACCTTTAGCTTCATCATCCCAGATTTGTTCTGGTAGGAATAATAGATTTGATTTGCAATATGACCTTGCTAGCCTCCTCACTGAACAACTCATTCACCAGAGCAGTATTCCACCTCCACCTACCAGAATCTAAAAGTTCCTAAACATGGGTTTCTGTGTTTCATATTTATGATCGAGCTGTTAAAATATGTTTATAAATTTGTAAAATATGTTTATAAATTTGTTGGACATAGGATGTGAAACTTACAAATATATTTGACACTTTTTAATAATCCATCCAAATTAATTATTTTAATTTTTATTTAACTTTTTTTTAGCAGGTCATGGCTGGCCCATTTATTCCCACTCGCTGGCATGCTTAAAATAAGGGGCACAGGTTTAACAGCTCGATTTAGGGTCTGCTCTATATGAAAAAATAGAGTGATATCTTTGGCTCTTTTGATAGAACACTAATTTATTTTTCTATTTCAATCTTGCTCTTCTGCTCACGATGGAATGAACTAATTTATCTACTAATTAATGTGATAAAATATTAATATAAAATGCACGTTGTAAAAATTTAGAAAATCTTAATAAGTAAAGGTGGTTGATGGAATTCGCAATTTGACGATTCTTATCAAGGTTCTGGAAACAGGAGCGGACTAGCCGATTCAACCGGAAATCTACCAATACATCGTTCCGGTTTGAGGTATGGAATTACTGGGGCCCAAAATCGGCTAAAAATCGTAAAACCAATAACGACTAACGTGGCCCACCGTTCCAATTGTGGTCTTGTGTAGAAGTGGTCGTAGAACTATTTAAATAGTTGACTTGTTTTCGATGTGGGATGTTCACAGCAAATAAAGGTTTGTTCAATTTATTGGGCCGCAAGCAGCCCTACTTTCTCTATTACAACTTCTCTCAAAGCAACCAGACGATGTGGAATTATTGGTGCATATTTAATTGGGCCCAATTAGAACTGGTCGCTAGCGGGCCTACTTTCTTATTCGGCATTGGTGCCAATTTAATTTCACGTTTAAAAACAAAAAGAGAAAAAAAAATTGAGCAAATTAGAAATCGGAGTTAATTTCGAGAGAGCAGAATTAATGTCCATGCGTATTTCTAGCTCGGGGTTTTGTTACATTGGCTTTCTAACAAGTGGTTAATTTCTTCCCCAATCCATTGATAATTAAGTAAATTTTCCAGATTTTGTTACATAAGCCTTTTTTTACTTTTATTTATTTAAAAAAATGTTATGATACACTATAAAATTGATGATAAAAATATACACAATTATATATTATCAAATAAAATAAATAAAAAATAATTATAGACCGATTCGACCAATAGTTCGATCAATGAACCACTGAACCGATAACTTCACCAGTTCAACGAGAGGTTCAATTTTCACAACTTTGATTTATTTATTTTATATATAGATGATTGATGAAAGGCCCTTAATCGGTATTTACCCACTCCACTCCACACAACAAATTAGTGCTCTTGCATTTGCCATTTTTAAAAATAAACTCAACAAATCTCCCCTATCCCTTGTTTTGAAGCCATAATTTTTCCTAGTCAAAATCCATTTTTTTAGCTTGCTCCTGTCCCCTTCTAGCGCAAATTAAACCCCCTCTCCTCACTTCTCTCTTCAAAACTCCGCCAACACTTTCTCTCTCCCCCTCTTTTCCTTTTTCTCTCTCCACACACTCTCACACATTCCCATACACTCTTATTTCAAACTTTTTTTTTTTTCAAGAAAATTACTCACACACTCACTCGGACCAATGGAAACTCCTGAATTTTTCCAAGCAAATTACTGCAATACTCAATTGGCCACTGAGAAAAGACTGTCGGACGCCAAGAACAGCGACCATTTTATCATCGAGGACCTCTTTGACTTCCCCAGCGATGAAAACATGCCGGCGGCCGACGGCGGCCTCGAGGCCGCCACGGCGGGGACCTCCACGGAGTCCACTGTCGACAATTCGTGCAATTCATCTTTCTCTAATTTGCAGGCCGCCGGCATTGGTGGGCCTGGGGAGGGGCCTTTCGCCGGCGATCTATGCGTCCCGGTACGTGGTCCGATTGTACGGTTCCGTGCAGTTAACATAATAATTGCGGGATAATTTTTTATTTTTTCATTTTTCATTTTACTATTTTATTCTTCCTTTTTCTTTTTGGCCTTTTTTTTTATTTTAGTTGATTTCTTTTGATTTTGTTATTTTGAGAATTACTATGCTAGTGCCGTCTAGCTTTCAAACTTTCGCTACGTTGTTAATGTGTGTCACGGATTTTTATTTGTTTATTACTTTATTTTTGTCGCAATTGCTTTTTTCTACTAAAAAAAGTNAAAATGTTAATGAGATAAGGCATTGACAAGCTTCATCACAAAATCCTTCCCCAAAATTAAACAAATTCTTTTCCACAATAATAAAACTAAAAATTTTACGTTGACACACTAAATAGTAAAAATATATATATAGTAATATATATTGATGTCTAATTTTAATTTGACAGTATGATGAGATGGCAGAGCTTGAGTGGCTGTCCAACTTTGTGGAGGACTCATTCTCCAGCGAGGACCCGCGCGTAATGGAAAGCGTGAAGGGGCAGCAGCCGGAAAGCAGCCAGCACCAGCAAGCGGGCCCCACAATCCCTTCAGTCCCAGCCAAGGCCCGCAGCAAGCGGTCCCGGGCCGCCCCTGGGAACTGGGCCTCCCGCCTCCTTGTGGTGGGCCCGAAGCCCAAGAAAAAAGAGGTGGCTGAGGAGGGGCGCAAGTGCCTACACTGCGCCACGGACAAGACGCCTCAGTGGCGAACTGGGCCCATGGGCCCCAAGACGCTGTGCAATGCCTGTGGCGTGAGGTACAAGTCGGGCCGGCTGGTGCCCGAGTACCGGCCCGCGTCAAGCCCGACGTTCGTGCTGAGCAAGCACTCCAACTCACACAGGAAGGTGCTGGAGCTGAGAAGGCAGAAGGAGATGTTGCAGCAGCAATTGGTGCACAATCGCCATCATCAGCATCATGGTATGATCTTCGATGCGTCTAACGAAGAGGATTACCTGATTCCTCATCCTGATTTCCGGCACATGATTTAGCAGCTGTTCATTAACGCAGGATTATATTTTTTACTCTCCTCGTTTTCTATGGAGGCATTTTATATTTTCCTTATGATTTTTTTTTTTTTTTTTATTTATTGGCTCCTAACTTATTTTATATATTCTGTAGTATTTTTTTTAGATTATCAGGATATTCAAAAAAATAGAGGATAGGGACAAATTTATGTCCAATCGATTGTGCTTTTGCCGAAATATGGCAAATACCACGCAAATTTCTGTCATTTTAAGAGCTTCTACTATTTCCTTGATTTTTATTGCTAAGTTTTGTGTGGTAAAAAAATACATGCTTTGGTTGTGTATGATGACATGTCAGTTTAACATGTTAAATTAAAATTGGAGGTCTAGGAAACAAATTTTATCTAATTTTAATTTAACATGTCAGTTTTTCATTTTTTTAATTCGAATTCAACTTAAATTTAACTCAACTCAACTTGTCTCAATATTATTAATAAAATTAAATAATATTAATCAAACATCATATTAAGTTAATTCACTATTCATTCGTTCCTCAATATTATTAATAAAATCAAATAATATTAATCAAGCATACATCATATTAAGTTAATTCACTACTAGTGTGTACCCCGTGCGATGCACGGGAATAATATTCGTAATTCGAAAGGCTGTTCCTAATTCAACTTCAACCATGCTTCAACCTAGGATCGTTGGGGAGGAAATAGATCTCGAGTTTGAGTCACTGACGGAAGTGGAAACTACTATTGATCCTATTTAAAAAGAGAAAGAAAAAAAAATAATTATAAAGTAAAGAGGAGGATAAACAATACTTAATAATTATAAATTAATGATTCGGGTTCAAACAATGTAAAACTATTTTGTATAAGAAAATATGAAATTTACATTATTTTGTATAAGAGAATATAAAATTTGCATGTTTAATATTAAAAACACCTAAAATATTATATTAGTATATATGTAAAAGTATTCAAAATTTTCTATATTATTTTTGAAAGATGTGAAGTCATCTACAACTTTTCTAAACAAATTTAGAAGGAAAACATATCTAAGAACATTTGAATTTAACATTGTGTAAAAAAGATTTTTCTAGACTATTTTGTAAAGAAAATATGTCTATATCTAAATTTAATATGTGTATATGTACATATATATATATACGTATGTTCTGTATAGTTTTTTAGAGATAATAATTCAACACGTGTATTAATATCAGTTTTGAATAATGATAAGGTGTATGAAATATCTCCTCCTTATAATAAGATTTTGTTTTTAATCTTAAAATTATCCCCGATATTTTTTCTTCAATTTATCGTTAAAAAAATATGTTTAAAAGGGTTACCATAAAAAAATATGTGATAAGGATGTTCGTGTGAAATGGGATTATCTCGTTACTATAAAAAATTATTTATGCCATAAGGACGCTATTAATGAGGCGTGCGCTAATGTGGAAAGGACATAAAGGCGTGCGCTAATGTGGAAAGGACATAAATGCTGAGCGTGTGAAATGGACATGATAAGGACGCAGGCGTGCGCTCATGTGAAAAGGACATAAATGCTGAGCGTGTGAAATGGACATAATAGTTACCGATTTTGGAAAGTAATAAATGCAAAACTTACTTTGACCATTAATTAAGTTACTAATTTTGATAAATATTAATTCTTATTATATAAGTATAGATTCGTTCGTTTATATATTTTTTATCACCCGTAGTAAAAAAGAAAAATATTCGAAAGAAAAATTCATAACTTAAAGTTCATAAAGAAAACGTCCCAAAAAAAAGTTCAAAGAAAAGTTTGACTTTATTGTGTATATATATGTTGATCAAGGAAGACATTATATTATTTTAATATATTTGTAAAGTAATACCAAAATCTAGTTTGCTCTCAATTATTTGAGCAACATATCAATATTTAATAAAATTAAAATGGAAAAACTACTTGAGAAAGAATTTTACTAGTATAATTTAACTCCATTTGAATATATATATATATATATATATATATATATAGTACAAAAATTTGCAAGATAGACAAAATGACAGACCTGAAAATAACTGCAAGACTAGCTTTAATAGGCATTCAAATTTCGAGTTTCACTTTCTCATTTCAATTTCATAATTGGATAAGCATGCTTTAGACGAATTGACGAAATAATATTATAATTATGCACGTCTTTTTCGTGAATTTAAACTTACATAGGTCCATCCATATCAATCCTTAAATTCTTCAATCCCGAAGAAGACATTTCATAATTGAGTTAATTTCATGTTTGTTCCTGCCCTAATGAAATTAGCGATGTCGGTAACAATAATATTGCATGCATTTATTTCACACAAAACTACCACTCCATACATGTCGGTAGCGTCGGTATCATCAATAACACATAGCAAATTTCAAAATAACTCATCGATGGTATATACTTTTGTTGGTGCAAAGTTTGTTTCTGCATATAGAAAAACATATACTCCCTCCATTTTGAAATATAAGACATTTAAGGTTATTGCACAAATATTAAGGAGACATTAATTAATGAATAAATTGACTAAATTAACCTTATTTACTCTAATCACAACCACTCCACACTTCCTTAATTTCAACACAATGAGGGTATATTTGGAAAAAAATGCAAAAATTTGTCTTGATTTTTGAGCGCGCCTTATATTTCAAAAAAAATGAGAAATCTATACGCCTTATATTTCAAAATGGAGGGAGTACTAAAATTGGCAAAATTTCAATTTTGGTCCGTTTACTTGTTCACAGTGTTTTTTTTTTTGGTACACTAACTTTCTCATCATCAATAATAGTACGTCATGTTGAAATTTGTATCACTATTGGGATATTACCTCTGAAAAATGGTTCATTATTTTTAGGAGTTAATGGACTAAAAATGATACAATTACAACATAACGTATTGTTTTTTATGGGCAATGTCCAAAAAAATGATACAAATTGCAACATAACTTATTATTTTGAGTAAGTTAGTGTACAAAAAATAGACTTTAGACAAGTATACGGACCAAAATTAAAATTATTCCTACTAAAAGTTTTCATAGCTGACTATATATTGCATTATAATTCAATAAATGTACTTGATGAAAGGTGCTGAGGAGTCTGCAAGAATGCACAAAAATAAAAATCGCTTGTAATAACACATGAATTAATTACATAAAAGTAATTATAAAAAAAATTGCTAAAGAGACATCTCACTACTGCTCAAAGCTCTTCTACTAGTAAATAGTCGTACATATGTAGTTGTTGATGCACGAAATTTGATCAACATGGGGTATTCGGATAATTAATGTTTGTATATTGAATTGTCGTATATTTTTGTGAATTTCTGTGTGATTTTTGCAAAGAAACAAATACTACACAACTTTGATTTCTTCAGTTTTCCTTATTTGTTGACACAAAAACACACAGAAATTCAAATGCCGTATATTTTTTGTAAATTTCTGTGTGATTTTTGCAAAGAAACAAATACTACACAACTTTGATTCCTTCATTTTTCCTTTATTTGTTGACACAAAAGCACACAATAATTCATATATACACAACAAATACAAACAATTCTCTGAATACCCATGTTGATCAAATTTCGTGCATCAACAGTAGTATAGCATAAATATACCAGAATATAAATCTCTTTTAATTTTACTATATAAGATCCCTCAAAGGCCGACGCACACCTTTCCAAAATGTCGCAAGAAACACATCAATATCTAGGTTTCTCATTTTCAGCTTGTAAGAACACTAACTGAAAGCTTGGAGCAAAAACTATGAAATACAATCGAAAATGCTTTATAAATTCTAAGAATGTGGTCAGTACTCGTAGAAATGCATTTTAGAGCTAATCACAAAGATAAGGATCTTTCGTGATTTAAACTCCCATTTCTCGATGTAGGATCTTTATTCATTTCTTTTAGCAAATATGTTTCCATTAGCTTGGACTCTCCATAGATTTCCAAATATATGCAATATTTTCTAAATTCAGTAGAAACAAGACTTCTTATAGATGCGGGATTATTCAACTTGTCTTTATGCGCTTTAGAAAAATCAGGAGAAAAATTATTAGTAACCAAGTAATTCACTATATTTGCATACCAAGGCATCCCATATAGTTGTTGCAAAGAGGTGCTTGTACGGGAATTCCTCGTCCATTTGGTTGGTATCCGTCACATGGGTTAAACAACTCAAATGGTTTGCAACACAATTCTCCTTCCCCTTCAGATCCTATCAAATTCGATCAAAAGCAACACCCATATAATTAACCGAGGTTTTTGACTCTCTCTTCGTCATCAAGTATCTAATAGATGCATGGTCAGTAAAAACAATGATTTTAGAGCTGAGTAAATAAGAACGAAATTTCTTCAAAGAGAAAAAAAATTGATAAGAGTTCTTTTTCGTCGTGGAATATTTCCTCTGTGCCTCATTCAAGGTCCTGGAAGTGTAACTCATGTAACAACAAATTTTACGAAAAACATAAATCTTTTGTACAACTTGATTTTATTTCGATCAAACGATTTTACAGGTTCAATCTCTATATGTCTTTTCTGATTATTCTCTTCGTGGACTTCGATTTAGTATTCAAATTTGGATTTGACAATTGATCTTCTTTGAGCTTGAACTTGCATTTCTTTAACTTTAATTTGGGGGTCGAATGACTTATTCTCGTATTAAATGTTAGGACTTAATTTGATTGAACACGACTTCTTGACGATCTTTCTTCTTTGATCCTTCTTGGAGAGAGACTTAGACTTGAACGTCGATTTCTCTTTGGTTCTTCTTGGAGAGGGACTTGGATTTGAACTTCGATCTTCAACTTGAGTATCTTGATCTCGGAAGCTCTGCCAAGTCTCGGGCTCAACACCGCCCCCACCACATGCTCACTAACATCACCCATGAGTTCAAAGGTGCCTTCACCAATACCAACTTTAAAGTGTCGAATGCCAGCTTACATTCCTCATTGATCTCGAACTCACGTCTTTCTGCAGTAGTTGGCAAAGAGGATGTGCAATCCTAAAAGAATCTTGATGAACATGTTAGTGTATGTACTTGTTAGAATATCACTTATGAGTTGTCCCACATCGTTTATACATGGAA